TACCTAACATATAGTTTCTATTTAAAACATCCAAACATGATTCCAACATCAATTTCATGGATTCCACTCAAAACCCTAACATGCCAAAATCAGAAATTGAATAACAAAATCCCTAATCATATAGCTACCCATTACATACATCACATACTCATATAATCAAATGAAAACCCACCCTTACCTTGGATGTAGATCCTCTTCTAGGGTTCTATCTTCTTCTCTTCTCATTTCTCCCTTTTCTCCTCTTTCTTCTCTTCTCTTGTTTCTTTCTTTCCAATTTTATTTCTCTTTATTTTACAAAATCCTTAGTAACTCTTATTTCACTAATGGGCTTATGTTTCATCCTCACACTAATTCATCATACCAAGACCCAATTAATTAATAATGCTATTCTCACACTTACTAACCTAATACACAAATAACACATATTCACAGTTAATTCAAATAATTCATATATTCACAAAATCACACAATTTAATTAATTAGTACATCATATAATAACTAATAAAATAAATAGCTAATAAAATAATTAATAAATGAAAAATTGGGGTGTTACAACTCTCTCCCACTTAAAATATTTTCGTCTTCGAAAATCACCTCAAACAAACAACTTAGGATACGACTCTCTCATATGACTCTCAAGTTCCCAAGTCACGTTTCCACCACCGGTCCTCCCCAAGCTACCTTTACATGCTTTATGCCCTTGCAGGGGGAACACACACATGTACTTTTTGACAAGGACAGTGGCACCCATAGGTCCCTGATAAAACTAACAGGGGCCACATCTTCATGCCAACCCCTTCCATATTACTTTTGAAGATGTCCGACAGGATCTTTCATTATGATACAAACATCATTGTCAGAGGTATCACCCAGAGAGGTAACTCCAGAGCCACCCGAAGGAAATATGCTAGGCATGTGTTTGCAGCGAATGTGATATCCCATGGCTTTTACAGAAGCACCCAAGGGAAAACAAGGTTTGACATCATTTTATCCTAGGAGGACGCCCTCAAAATCAACCCTCGCAAAAATGATTCCTTACTTATCACTATATAGCATGAAAACCAGGATATCACAAACATTTTGATAGATCCTAGCAGCTTCACCGATATCATATCATGGGGATGTCTTCCGAAAAGTAAATTTGGAATCGAACGACATAAAAAGGTCCAACAGTTCTTTGATGGGATTATTAGGCCTTCGGGTGCAAATAATGGGCCATGTGACCTTAAAACCCACATATGGCAAGGGAGCAAACGCCATTGAAATTTTATTCCTGAGGGGACAAATGTTGGACACGAAGTCGTGACAAATGGTTCAACATGATAAACCAGTATAACAACATTAAGGTCTTAGCTTATACAAGATGATGAAGCATATAATGAATAAAGAGAACACGATAGACTAGTAACCAAGTTCGGTGCAAACAACACCTATGTCTGGAGGGCACTCTACTCAAGAAAGAAAATTCACTACTTCAAATTAGTACAATTATTCTTCCATGAACACCAACCCCATGATATTCAATGCATCTTATTAATCCTAGTGACTTTCTATTTAGGACTCCTTATAGAACTATTTCACTCTTAATAGTTAGTAGGGAAAATAGACTTGCTCTGAATTAGGCTAATTCAATACCACTTTCCTAATACTACCCATAAAGCTTCATTCTAGTCTCAACCTAAATATGATAACTCCTCTCACCTTCTCTCAATAACTAATTCTAAGTGATCAACTTCAATAAAAAAGTCTATTGAATATTGAATATACAACTCAACAAAGACAAACCAACAACTATGTCAAGTTACTGAAACATGGAGTGGTGTACACAAATATCATACATTATTCCTTATCATGGCAATAACGTGGAATACAAGAAACACTTTATTCTCAAGCTTATATAGACTTAGTATCGTGGAACAAGGTTTTACAAATCAATTATTAAACCAAACTATATGTCTTAAAATATGAAAAGAGGCACTAGAGTGATGCACAAAGATATCTTAAATAAAGACTATAAAGCTAAACCATAACACCAAGAATCTTCCAAATATGCACCCCACAACCTTGAGGTTTGCGTTTCCTTATAAGACAATGCAATTCTAGGTTTTTCTCCTTTGAATTTATGATTAAATTTACTCTAGAAAATAACTAATTCTCTTGGATATGATCATCTCTATATTTATCTCCAACAATAAGATATGATTTGTTATATTTCAATTCAATTTTAAATATTATTTTAAATCTGATTTGAATATCTCAAGTTATCAAACAAATAAAATATACATTACCAAATTAACCGCAATAAATCTTATTAAATCCTGATTAGAAATTGCACATCAAATAACACCCATATGGCCTGCTGTCAAGGCCACATGTTGTGTTGCACACATGTTGAAGCATCGTGTTCAACACGATTCACCAGCACATCCAAATTAATTCTCCAGCTTGAATTTGTAGATATGTTTTTTAGATTGAATCTTGAATAGAATAACTAAGAACCATAACTATATTAACATATGTTTTTTGTATGAAACCAGATATTGTAGTACACATGTTGTAACATCGAGTTCCACATGTGTCTCTTCTGCACCAGAAATAGCTTGAACATCTCCATGTTGTTTTGCATAATATAGCCAATCCAAAAGGAACTTCAATCTATCCTTTTGAAAATTTTGGCAAAATAACTCTTTAAGTAGTAAACATATTGAGTATTAGAGATCCCATACTCAGAACAATCATCAGCAACAATAGAATAAAAACAATCAGAACATATATTAGCAGCAATAAAAGTTAGAGCAGCAACAACAATAATTTGTAGCACGAATATAAAATCATGAGATAGTTACGCGCACATGAGTTTGCATGTTAGAGATTGTGAGGTAGTTACACACACATGAGAATGCTCCAAAATAGTCGATCATGCAATCATTCAAGATGAATTAGTAGTCACTAGTCAAATATCATAAGCCACTACTAACATACAACAAGATCAACATACACAGATCTAGACAAGATGTTAGGCTAAATGTTGCAGCATGTGTGCTTTCCACAAAAAACCAGAAAACCAAAACAGTTAGTACTAATTACATCAATTAGTACTAGCCACATTAGAGATCAGCAGATGATAACTTCCTCATAGTTAGTAAGTTAGTAGTCATAACTTCCAACCCTACACAACATTACTCCCCCCTTTTGTCATAATTTGGCAAAGGTATTCCTCAATAATTTTGGTTAGTCATCACAGAAGTTAGTATGTTAACATATACACACATCATAACATGAGTAAACAAATGTTGCACACGAAGGTAAAGCATCAGTCCAAGTCATGCAAACTGTTGTTACTAGGTTCAGAAGAGCAAATAGTAGTCAAGGTATCATTACCATTACAACTCAAAAAGTACCCATGTAAGGGCCAAAAAGACACTAGAAAAGAAATTAGAAAATATAGATTGAATTGCAGCCAGCTTCATTAAGGAACACTTGTCAGACCAGATGTTTGGCACATCCTGGATGACATCTTTATTACTATCTCTGATGATATATTTGGAAAAAAATGACTTCAACTGAGGGACTCGTCTCTAAAGAATGCCTCCACCAGGGATTAGTTTTTAAACACTCCGTCCTTAAAGAAAAATCGTCGCACTTAAGGGACTATGTAGTGTTATATTTGTAAAAATCCTAGATTAGGAAACCCTCGCCCCACAACGATGTCGCCCAGACGAAATCTAAAAGACTTGCCCAATGGCATCTGCAAACATGAGAGTCAAGGAAGAGAGAGCCTACATTGAATCCTAAAAGATAGGTGGTCAATAACTTCCCTTAGTGAGAGGGAAACGATTAAGACCATGAAAAAAGGTTAAAAAAAAAACTTATGTCTTATGGATCCTTTATAAATATCTCACCCCTCAAGGAGAAAAAAGACAGACTCTAAGTCATACACATCTTCTACTACCTAAAAGAACACCACACTCTTTGCAACCACAACACATGATTAATCTAATCACCTGCCTACAATCAAGCAGCGCTGACCACCAACATGGCCTTTCACTTGAGTCCTTTAAACAATCTAAAAAATCACCGTACATGACTTCTCGCCGCCGTGAGCAAACTCTCACTACCAAAACATATTATACACCTACTAAGACATATGAGACTCCCTGCCCTTGCAGGGGAATCACACACTTATAAGTAATACATATTTTAAAAGTGATTTTTTTATAAAAATTTATTCAAAATGACTATGTTTAAGTAATTTTTGAAAATTTGATTTCCAAAAGAATTTACAATAAATGATTTAAAATAATGATTTAAAGAAAAATTATTTAAGCTAATTTTTTATTTAGAACTTTTTTTGATAAATTTTATTATAAATATTTTTAAAGCAAAAAAGTATAACATTACAAAAATCATTTAAAAGAAATGCCCTTGTGTGATCTAAAAGGAAAACCTTATCTTGTTTAAGATATCTTTATCCTCATATTGTTTCTTCCACACACTCTCATTCAAGTGGTTTCTCTCACTTTCCCCATAGATCTTATTTTCCCTTTTCTATATTGTACTGATTTCTTGTTGCATCTAATATTCACTCCCATATTCTCTTTTACAAGGAGCTCATAATCTCCATTTATAGGTAACATTTTCGTCTTCTTTTATACTTTTTAGTGAATAATTATCTGTTTTAGATTTTGACTTTGTGTTCCCTCTATTTTTCTAAATCTTGTTCTAATTTTTTATATTCACTCTTAGATTCTCGTTATAATATTTACATAACTAACAATTGGATTCAAATCATTGAATATGACAATCAAATTGTGCTAATGATTAGTTATGAGTTTCATAACTAATGATTTGTCCCTGATGATATTGGATTCACAATTGTGTTAGCAATATTATTGCTAACACAGGATGATATTGTCCCTGATGTATTACTGCAAAGAGGCTCTGAATATTGTGCATGAAACTCATATCTAAAATAATTTATTTTGTGTTACAGAAAAGACATGGCAGAACTTGTTGCTGGAGCATTTCTTTCATCTTTCTTTCAAGTGTTTTTTGATAGGTTGGGTTCAAGTAATTTCACCGACTATTTCCGTAGAGGCAAACTTGACAAGTTGGTGGAGGAACTTGAGTCTACACTCGAGTCTATCAACCAAGTTTTGGATGATGCAGAGATAAAACAATACCAAATCCGGAATGTCAAGAAGTGGCTTGGCGATGTTAAACATGCTATGTATGAGGCTGACCAACTGTTGGATGAGATTGCCACTGATGCACCGTTGAAGAAGATGAGAGCTGAATCTCAACCATCAACTAGTAGCAACAACTATTTTAGTTATGTTTCAGCTTTTATTAATCCATTTGAATCAAGGATCAAAGAATTGCTAAAGAATCTAAAACATCTTGATGAGCAAAAAGATGTGTTGGAATTGAAAAATGGATCTTTGGCTCGTAATGAAGTTGGTGTCAGTTCCAAACCTTTAGAGAGACTGCCAACTTCATATTTGGTGGATGCATCCCGCATATATGGTAGGGACGATGAGAAAGAAGAAATGGTCAAATTTTTACTTTCAAACAATGGCAGTGACAACCAAACACAAACACCTGTATCTAGCATAGTGGGTCTGGGTGGGATGGGCAAGACCACCTTTGCTAAGCTTGTGTACAATGACAGTAGGATTGAGGAATATTTTGAACTTAAAGCATGGGTTTATGTTTCTGAATCTTTTGATGTTGTTGGACTCACCAAATCAATTCTCAAGTCATTTTATTCTCAAGTAGATGATGAATCTATTCTCAATTTACTTCAAGAGAGACTGCAACGCATACTAACAGGCAAAAAATACTTGCTTGTTTTAGATGATATCTGGAATGGGAGTGCAGAATGTTGGGAGCAGTTACTACTTCCTTTTAACCATGGATCTTCTGGAAGTAAGATTATTGCGACAACACGTGACAAGGACGTAGCACATGTCCTGAATTCCACAGAGATATTTGATTTACAGCAATTGGAAAAAAAAGATTGTTGGAGTTTATTTGTGACACATGCGTTTCATGGAAAGAACACGCGTGAATATCCAAATCTAGAATCAATTGGCGAGAAAATAGTGAACAAGTGTGGAGGGTTGCCTTTAGCAGTAAAAACAATAGGCCAACTCTTACGAAAAAAATTCTCTCAAGATGAATGGATGAAGATATTGGAGACTGATCTGTGGCGTTTATTAGATGAGGACAACAACATTAACCCAGTGCTAAGATTGAGTTATCATAATCTTCCTTCCAACCAGAAGCGGTGTTTTGCTTATTGTTCCATATTTCCCAAAGGTTATCAACTTGAGAAAGGTGAATTAATCAGGTTTTGGATGGCTGAAGGTTTGCTAAAGTGTTGCAGAACAGAAAAAAGTGAAGAAGAGTTGGGTAATGAAATTTTAGGTGATCTTGTGTCAATTTCATTTTTCCAATATTCAACGGATGATAATACCTTTTACACGCATGACCTTGTCAATGATTTAGCTAAATCAGTGTCAGGAGAATTTTGTATGAGAATGGACGAAGATAAGGTGGAAGGTATTCCTGAAAGGACACGTCACATTTGGTGGTCTCCTCAATCAAATTTTGTTGATAAATTACAAGAGTCAATTTGTGAACTTAAGGGACTACGTAGTCTGTCACTAGAAGGCGATAGATCTATATTGATAAGCAACACTGTGCAACGTGATATGTTTTCAAGACTAAAACATTTGCGAATGTTATCATTATATGGTTGTGGTCTCTCAGAGCTAGTTGATGAGATAAGCAATTTAAAGCTTTTGCGTTATCTTGACCTTTCTTATAATAAAATTTCAAGCTTACCTGACACCATTTGTATGCTATATAATTTGCAAACACTCTTGTTGCAAAACTGCGGTAAATTGACTGAGCTCCCTTCAAATTTTTTCAAACTCTTCAATTTACGTCATCTTGAACTTCCCTATTTTATAAATAAGATGCCAAAGAATATAGGAAGTCTAAGCAATCTCCAGAAGTTGGCTTATTTTATAGTGGAAGAGCAGAATGGATCTGATCTTAAGGAGTTGGAGAAACTAAATCATGTTCGTGGAACAATTCAAATTAAAGGATTGGGTAAAGTCATTGATCCTACAGATGTTACAACAAGAATTTTGAAAGATAAGAAGTATTTAGAAGAAATAGAGATGACATTTGATGGCGGAAGAGAAGATATGGATGGATCAACAGTTGAAAGCAATGTATCTGTGTCGGAGGCTCTTCAACCAAATAGCAACTTGAAGATGCTCACCATCAGAGATTACAGAGGTAATAGCTTTCCTAATTGGGTAAATGGTTGTCATTTACCTAACTTAGTATCTCTTACACTAAACAACTGTGGATTATGTTCCCACTTGCCACCACTTGGGCAGATCCCCTCTCTCAAGAAGCTTTATATTTCAGACTGTCATGGAATAAAGATCATCGGAAAAGAGTTTTACAACCATAACTTCAAGTCTCTTGAATTTTTAGGTTTTGACAGAATGAAGAATTGGGAGGAATGGTTATGTATTGAAGGGTTTCCTTTACTTAAAGAGCTTTCTATAACGGATTGTCCCAAATTGAAAAGGGCACTGCCTCAACACCTTCCTTCTTTACAAATATTGCGCATATGTGATTGCAAAATGCTAGATGTATCAATTTCCAATTGTGATAATATCATAGTGTTAGATATATGGAAATGTGATCGGGTTTTGATAAATGAGTTGTCATCTAGCTTGAAAAGGTTCACCCTTTGGGGAAATCAGTATGTTGAGTTCTCCATGGATCATTTAATCAACTGCCCCATTCTGGAAGTGTTGATGTTGGATTGCAAGGACTTTGTAGAATGTTTCTCTTTGAATTTGTCTTGTCATAATTCTCTTTTGAGACTTTCAATAATAGGATGCCGGTCCTCCTCCTTGCCTTTTTCACTACATTTATTCACCAATCTTAAATGGCTAGACATCCATGATTGTCCAGAATTAGAATCTTTTCCTATGGGAGATTTACCTTCCAACTTGAACATACTTGGAATATCTAAATGTCCTAAATTGATAGCTTTTAGAGAGGAGTCGGGTCTTCTCCATCTCAAATCTCTTGTACGTCTATCTATTTACAACTGCCCTAGTCTTGAGAGCTTGCCAGAGGAGAGTCTACCCAACTCCCTTAAACATTTGTTCATTAGAGATTGTCCATTACTTAAGGAGAAGTACAAAGAGGAGGGAGGAGAGCGTCGCCATACAATTAGTCACATCCCTGAAGTGTTGATTGACTGGTAGAAGTGAAATGTCTGTCGCAGGCAAGTATCCATGTGTTCATTTTTTCTTAACTTTTTTGTATTTGGCACAATTATAACATTATGTATGGATTTCATGTTGAACAGTGGCAACATTTCCGGATGGAAGCATGCTTATAACTTGCTAGTAATGGTGCATTTGCATGTCTGCTGATTACCAACGCCGATGGCGGAGTTGGAATTTAGTCCCTTCATAGAACGATCCTCTATGTCCTTTTTTTATTTATGTTAATTGTCCAGTTTTCATTTTTGTTGTTCCTTTTCCTTCTTCAAATATGAAGTTCTTAAAGCTCTCAAGCTAGTTCTTTGACTTTATTAATCCCTACTATGAACAATGTTTTATATTTAGATAAAAAGGATAAAATGATAGATATATAATATTTGCTAAGAAATATTACTAGAGAAAATATAATTCATGTATTAATTTGATACTAACAAACAATAGACACGGTCTAATGTTAATTAAACTAATCATCATAAAAGATCCCAAACTCCTGATTTTGATCAAACAATGGCTATCTTCTAATTGGGATTAATTCACTTGCTTTGATTCCATCTTAGAATAAAAAATGAGTTGAAAATGTTAAGATGTATAATTCTTATTCTATCGAAATGTTTGTGTAGTATATGTCGAATAACTTTTGTATTGGTTATAAGTTGTATTCGACATAGTCGAATACAACATATATTGCAATTTGTCGAAATCATGTTTCGGACTTTAACATTTTTATCTAATGGCTTGGATATTGTTTGCCTATATAATGAGCAGCAGAATTTGTAATTAATAAGTGAGAAAACAATCAAAATAAAACTCTCAATTCTCTCTCTCTCTCTTCTTCTTCTTCTTCTTCTTCTTCTCTTTCATAAATCATCTTTCTTAAAAAACCCTTTGTTCCAACAAATTGGGAGCTCGATTGTGATTCAGAGAGAATCTAATGGCAAACGGAACAACAACATCAACGCAGTTTCCAGCGAATCTACCGGTTTTCAAAGGTGAAAACTATCAGCGGTGGGTTGCGCAGATGAAAGTTATTTTCAGATTTCAAGATGTTGTTGAAATCTTGAATGGTGGAGTATCAGAACTAGAAGCAAATGTGACGGAAGCCCATAAAACCGCGCATAAAGATCAAAGAAAGAAAGATGGTAAATCACTGTTCTTGATTCACCAGTGTGGATTTTGATGTATTTGAGAAAATAATTGAAGAAGAAACAACAAAAGGAGCTTTGGAAAAGCTAAAAAGCTTGTATGGTGGAGATGAGAAATTGAATAAGGTTAAGTTGTAGACACTAAGGAAGCAATACGAGATGCTTCATATGAAAGAAGATGAATCAATCTCTGCATATTTCTCAAGTGTTGTGACGCTAACAAACCAGATGAAGGCATGTGATGAATCGGTTACGAATCTGCAGAAGATAGAAAAGGTGTTGAGATCTTTAATTGCGGATTTTTACTACATTTTTGTGACAATTGAAGAGGCTAAAAATCTATCTGGGATGAAGTTGGAAGAACTTCAAGCTTCATTGGAGGCTCATGAAATGAGGTTGAAGCAGAGTAACTCAGAAAGAAAGAAGGTGACTAAATAGACATTGCAATCAAGATTCAGCAAGAAAGCTGGAAAAGAGAAGTCGAAGCAGCGAAAGAATCTTGCTAGTGAAGAGAAGTCAAACAAGAATACTGATTCGATCAAGAAAGGTGTGGGCAACAGGTATTATGTGAAGAAAGTTGACACGAAAGAGGTGCAATGTTACAATTGTCAAGGTTTTGGTCACTGTGCTAGAGACTGTCAAAGAAAGAAAGTTGCAAGGGCGAAAGATAGTGATGAAGCTCAATATGTACGAGCTGGAGATAATGATTCAGATGATGTGTTGGTGGTGGTGAACACTCAGTTGAACACTGAGAAAAATAACATGTGGTGTCTGGATTCAGGATGCAGCACCACATGACTGACAATAAAAACTAGTTTACCAAGTTAGATGAGTCAGTCGAAAAGGTGATAAAGTTTGCAAATGACAGGCACATCAAATCAGGTGGTAAAGGAGATATTTCGATTGTCAGGAAAGATGGTCGAAAGCTACTATCATTGAAGTACTATATGTACCTTTTATGACAAATAACTTGATAAGTGTAGGTCAATTACTTGCAAAAGGCTTCAATATGAAGCTAGAGAAAAATCAGATGAAGGTATATAAGGCTGATGGGAGGCTAATAATGAAAGCACCATTGGTGGAGAACAAAATGTTCAAAGTTGAACTCAACACGTCATATCACATAGTCTTGCTTCAACTACAGAAGAAGACAAAAACTGGCTATGACATCACAGGTATGGACATCTAAACTTCAAAAGTTTATGCATGCTCAATCAGAAAAAGATAGTGTTTCGATTGTCGTATGTAAAGGAACTAAAGCAGGTATGTGAGAAATGCTGCAAAATAAAACAGGCAAGGAAGGCGTTCAAACATGACTTGTCTGTAAAATCAAAGTAAAAACTGGAGCTGGTTCATTCTGATGTGTGTGGACCCTTTGAAGTAAAGTCAAATGTAGGTAATATGTATTTCCTTACTTTCATTGATGAATTCACCAGACATATGTGGATTTACCTTATTGAAAGGAAGAGTGAGGTATTCACACAGTTCAAGAAGTTCAAGTTGTATGCTGAGAAACAGAGTGGCTGCAAATTGAAGAAGTTAAGAACTGACAGTGGTGGTGAATATACTTCTGCTGAATTTGCTAGATTTTGCAATGAGGAAGGTATAGATCATGGGGTTATTTCACCCAATACGCTTCAGCATAATGGCATAGATGAGAGAAAGAATAAAAGATACTGAACATGACGAGAAGTATGTTGAAAGCTAAAGATATGTCTAAGAGATTTTTGGTTGAAGCAGCTTCGACAACGGTATATATTCTAAATAGATGCCTGTTGTACCCCAAAATTTACCCTCCCATATTCTTCAAGATTTGCAAAGAGCATGCTTCAAAATCTCCCCAAGGGTTGTACAGTTCAAGGGCCTCTTAACAGTCAAAAACTAGGGTTTTGGTTCTGACAAAGAAAATGAAGTTTCCAAGGGTCCAAACAAGTCCCACATGCCTATAAACATGGTCAAGCATCCTCATACCAAGTTGCAAGACTTACAACACAAAATTGCACAGTCAAAAACCCTAATTGCCCTACAGTCAACTGCAGGGGCAAAATGGTCATTTGATAGTCAAAAGTCCAAATTTTTGGTCAACATATTATTTTGAAGCCACAAACATCATTTGATCAATTCTTGATCATGATTCTCAAGGCATGGCTCAAAAAGTCTCAAGATGCAAAAGTTTCCATATTTGGACAGTTTAAAAAGTCAACTGTAACTTGATCAAGGCATAACTTCCACATGGTTTATCAGAAAAATTCCATCCAAAGCTCATTTTGAAGATAAAGACATTTCCTACAACTCCTCTTCACACTTCAAGTCCAAGAAATGCTCTCACAAAAAGTTATCAATTTCAACATTATAGGTCATTTTCAAAAGTCAACAAAAAGGCACTTTAAGTCAAAGACCATAACTTGAGATTGGTAAATCAAAATGACATGGGACCAAAGACATTGGTTAGAGGACTTCAAGACCTTTCCAAAATGTCCAAGAACATGATCAAAGCTTAAAATTTGAGCAATATATGCCTTGTGGAAGTTGGGAAATTTTTGGGAATTTTGAAAAGTCAACTTTACTTCAAATGCCTCAAAATTGCTAATGGGCCACATTTTCTTCCAAGATTCATCATCCAAAGGCTATGCACGACCATTTGGCCCAAAAGGGATTTATTTCATCATTTTTTATTATTTATTTGAATTTTTGATCACCATTAATTCATTTAATAAAATAAAATATGAAAAAAATACTAAAACAAATGTATGTGAATCTTTTTATGCAGCATTTGCTCTCATTGGTCACTGAAGATTCGTGCACATCAAAAAAGGAAGGATTTGGCCATGATTGGTATCAAAACACATGAAAAAGATTTGAAAAAATATGCCATTAAAATCAAATATTGGATTCATGATTACAAGGCTTTTTGACTCAAATCTTTACCCTAATTCGTCCCATACATAAGTCAGAACCTAACCCTAGTACAAAGAACTTTCAAGCTGCGCCCAATCCTAAGAACAACTTTGGCATTTTTGTGAAAAAAATTGAAAACAGAAAACGCCTTTAGAGTTGGTTTTAAGGCAAGATAACTATTCCAATCGCTTGCCAAGGCCACAAGGAAAGTTTCTGGATCAAAATCCTAGCTTCTAACGCAAAGAATTGGTAATATGATGTCGTCCTGTCCTTAACATTGTTGATATTCGTGTTTCAATTTATAAGCATCCTCATTGCATTCTTTCTGTTGATTTGGACTAATCTAACCATTCTAAAGCTAATGATGTCATTTAATTGGATTTTCATGCCCTGTACGAGAACCTACCATTAATGTCTTTTAGGGTTGCAGAGGTTCAAATTTGGGGCTTCCTTATTCTGGAAAAATTGAGACACGAGACCATGGCCATTTGAACTGGAAGCTTCATACGAACTCAATCCATAGGCCGCGCTCAATTTATGAGCAACCAGGACATATTCGCTATTTTCATGTTTATCACTTAGTGGGGGTTTAAAACCCCCGCTATTTAGTTTGTTTTTTCAGGCAAAATGCAGAACAATTGGAGAAGAAGGTGAGGTGTAAGCCAGCGGTTAGTGCGTTTGAATTTCGCGCGAAAAAATACCACTCACCCTTATTTTGCATTATATTGTTTATTTGTCATGTTATGTTACAAACGCGCAGATGGCACAGTTGGTGGACAAAGCATTTGGTAAACTCTGGGACCTGGGTTCGATTCCCAGGTCCCCTCACTTTCTTAATATATTTTGTTTCAACATGATTCCATGCAGTTTCAACCCCCAGGCCTACCATGCGTCCTCTTGCCTGTGTTTGCCACGTGCCCACTGATATCAATCCAATGG